TTTTTATATTACTTCTCTGTTCCATATGTGTCTAGCCTCTTAGTCTGGATACAGAGGAAGTAGTGAAAGATCTTAAGGGTCTCTTGGGAAGCCCTTTATGGCATCTAGGGCAACGACGTCTTCTTGGGCAGGAAGGGCTACAAGGGCAACATCAGACACGTGAATCCTGAAGGACGATGCCAGAAACCAGTGAACACGTGAAGATGATTCCTCACAAAAAAAGAAGTCTCTCCAATAGTAGACCGCGAAGGTTTATCTTTTGAGAATGTGGTCTAACAATTAGAAATTTTTATATCTAATTAAAACCATTTCTCATTCTCAGGTTTTCCTTGGTCATATTATGGAAGGTGGACGTCTCTAGGGACCGTGCCCGACCAAGGGTCGGCCCCCTTCCCATGCCCTAGGTGTAAACCTGATTTGAGATTGATATATTGGAGGACCTATCACGACGACATATAGAGTGGCTAGCTACCAAGATGAGGTGTATTGGAATGCGTTCACTGTGCTTGTTTGTCAATGTTGTGAGGTTTTAATAGTTTTTTGTCGTACGTCATTGGCGTTTATAACAGATCCCCGAATACGTGTAATGGGATTTCGTTCTTTTTGGTCATACCCCGAACTCATTGGTACCTTTCATGATAAAAAGGGAAAAGGAAATTTAGTAACCAATTCTTTCTTTACTTCAATGGTTGTAATACATTATACATGGCATACTTTTTATTATATAATAAAAGGACTATAAAATTTAACAGAACCAGCTGGTCTTATCACTTCTTATTTTATCATGGGGTTGATGCCACATGTTTTCCTTTAAGTGAGCCACTTTTGTTCATCAGTCCAGATCACAGTGTTTTTCTGGTCGGAGGTTGAATGACCATACCTTTGAGCTACTTGATTAGTGGAATTACATTGATTTCCATGGATGTGGCCCCGCCCTTCTTCTAATCCTAATGTAAATCCTGGTAAATCCTTTTCGCTCCTAACAAGTCGGTGCTAATATTGACTGACTCTTTATAGATGTTATGATATTTTATCTTTAGGTGAACTAGAGAGGCAACTACATCCAATGTCGCTACAAAGGGTCGACCTAAGATGCACTTGTAGACGCTCTGGCATGGGACGACCATGAATTGTGAGTAAACTATTATAAGGAATTTTTTAATGCACCCTATGGTTTACTAACATACCTTATAAAAATACAATAATACCTCTAGATTATGAATATCCATCTCCGGATGCACCCAAAGGCAATACATTTCTGAATTAAACCTTAAGTCAATGGGAAAAAAATACAAAGATGCATCTCCGTGTAACTTATAGAGATACACCTTCGGACGCTGTTTGTTCAAAAATGCGCCAGAACCATTTCTCTTTCCTCAGTTCTAAAAAACATTTTCAAGATTCTCAAACTCTTTCAAATCACATTATCTCAAAATCATCCAACCAACTTCAAAGCTTCTTCCATCAACATCAAGTCCATCAAAAAGTTCATTCAACACCGAAGTACTCAAAATTTGTAAGTTTTTTAAATATTTTTTAAACGTTTTTGAGTTTTTGTATAAATTTGTATTAATTGATGACTAGGTTATGAAATAGATAATTTATACACAATGAGAAACATGTTTGATGGGTAGTTTTATTGATCAATGCACTATTAACTCAAGGAAAATACATTTGAGACCTACTTGCCAAAGTCAACTTACAAGAAGCTAAACCTCTACCTTCCCCTAATGTGAATTGATACTAACATTTACATATCAATTGTGGGTGCTCTTCAGCATGCCACAATAACACGACCATACATATGCTTTTCAACAAATAAGGTATGCCAATTCATGTCTCAACCTCTTGAGTCTCATTGGATTACAGTAAAAACAGATTCTTAGGTACCTAAAAGGTACTATCACTTGGGGACTTCATCTGCAATCCATCACCAATTCTATAGTTCCTTTGTTAGCATATTCTAATACATATTGGGGCTATGATCCTGATGACAGAAGTTTAACATCAAAATCTTATATCTTCATAGGACCTAATATCACTTCCTGGTGTGGCAAGAAATAGACTGTTATCTCTAGGTCAAGTACTGAAGCTGAATATAAAAGTCTTGCCCTTGCTGCCTCATAATTGCTTTAGGTTAAGTCTATACTAATTGAATTCAAAATCCCTTACTCCACTCCTACTGTCCTATGTGATAAAACAATCACCATTTCTCTTGCTTACAACCCTGTTCTTCATGCACGAGCAAAGTACATGGAACTTGACTTGTTCTTCGTTAGAGAAAAAGTGCTCAACAAGCAGCTCAAAGTCACTCATGTACCTCTTCAGTCTCAAAATGATGATATACTCACCAAGGCACTTCCTCCCTCTAGATTTAAAGAACTTAGAAGCAAGCTCACAATGTGCGATTCTGCTCAAATAGCCCATAATACAGCTTGAAAGGGGATATTAAAAAATTCAATCATGTGATATTGTAAGATTTATTAAGTAAGCTCATATGAGCTTACTGTAGGATTAATGTACACTAGTATAACCTTGTAACTAACTATTAGTTACAGTTAAAAAAATATAACATATTGTAACTAACTAACTAACAAGTGTCACTCAGCCCTAGGTCTTACTAGCTACAACAGGTCATCAACAAGATCTATAAATAAATCTAGTCTGATGTAACTAACAATCAATACAATCACAACTCAGTTTTATTCATTGATTCCAAGAGAATCATGACCAATATTTAAAACTCTAACACATTATCTACATATGCCATTTATCAGATTTTGAGGCAGATTAATGAAATAGTTGATGAATGCCATAATAAAATAAAAGATCGTGGTAGTAAAAGAGTTTGCGAAAATTCGTAATATTTTATTATCTAAGTGTGACGATTTTTATTCTATAGCAAACTATTTGGGACTTAAAAGAGAGTTAAAATTAGAAAATTATGTAACTTCACGGACATCGCATTGGTATTCACCGACATTAAAGCCACATATGAAAGATGATAATATGAAACAATGTCTTAGATTTTACTTGAGCGTGCTTGAGGAAAATTCCTCGTGATCTAATGTTTATATCCATATATAACTTTGAGCACATAGATGAAAAATGATTCTACATGTCGAAAAAGTCAACAAATTATTACTTTATTGCAAATGAGGATGACCAATATCAAACTTGTATTAACATAAATTACATTGAAAATGTTAAATTTTAGTAGCAATGGTTAGACCCAAATTCTATGATGAAGAAAATGTAACATTCACGGGAAAAATTAATGTGTTTCCTCCCGTTAATAAAGGTCCACAAGAAGGTCAAATGTTAATCAAAGATTGGAGACACTTGAAAAAAAAACCAATTACTTATATCACTAAAGAAGTTAGCTAGAAGTTCTTGAAAAATGATATCCGATTACCATTTACAATAAGTAATTTGTGGATTGACTTATTTGGTAGAAGTGATTTTTTTTATAAGTAATTTGTTTTAACATTTGACTTGAACAAAATCTCCGTTATGAAGTCTTGAAACACTTGACCTTATTGAACATTTTTTGGACTTTATTAGCCATAGAAGTAATTGGTTCTTGTTTCAAGTGTCCCTACATTTTGATTGACCTTCTTGATGACACTATATCAATTAGAAGAAACACACCATTTTTCCTGTGAATGTCACATCGTCTTCATCATCAAATATGAATTTGGCCACTGCTACTAAAAATACGACCTTTTTGAATGTACTTTTTGTTTATGCAAGTATGATATGAGTCATTCTCATTTAAAAGAAGATAATAATAATTCAATAATTTTTCAGACTTGTAGAACCATTTTAATCTATGTGAACAACGTTATACAAGAATTTTAATATTAGATCATGAAGAATGCTATTTTCATCAAACATGTTCAAACAATTTACGACATTTTATATTATCATTTTTGATATGTGATTTTAACGCGCTTGAATGTCAATGTAATACTCATTCATTTACATATTTTCCCAATTTTTCCTTGCTTCTAATACCCACAATTTCTTTTTATAGATAAAAATATGCTATGGTTGAGAAATAAAATATCACAATTTTTCTCAAATCCTTTGTTGCTATTTAGTTCTACAACACTTTCCACACCAACACCGAAATATTTGTTGATATACTTTCTGCCAAACCCTGGCTAAGTTAGGGTTTTTGTTAATTAATTCTTCACTACTCTAAGATCACCTACTTTCTTATTTTTATTTCTAGAAAGCGAAGGAAATCAACCGAATCCTTATGTTTTTTTCTTCCAAAATCTACCTTAAATAATTACATGATGCAACTGTATTCAAATTCCTTTTTAAATATAAAATGGAGTATAGACATGTGGGGGAATTGGGATCATGAAAGACATCAAGGACGAACCGAAAGCAGCAATGTGCGATAAAATTTCTTTTGTTTGGGCGGTTACTGAGTGGGTCCATCTTCACCGCCACACCTCCCCCTATTTGAAGGTTTCAACATTCTTCAACTAATAATAATATTATTTTCTATAATAAAAATATTAATAATAACATTGTTATACTTTTTCTAAAAGAATAATAACAATATTTTTCAAATAATAATAATAGTAGAGTCATGCTGACCAAGGCCAAAAAGTTATCAATTTAATTGAAATATGAACAAAATATTATATTTTTATTAGATATTAGTGTAAAACTAAGTATTACTATTTTAGGTAGCGTATTTATAAATTCATAATTATATTTTTTTTCCCTAAATAGAAATAAAAAAAATCAAAATTAACAGTAGCACTCGAAAAATTATTTTCAAATAGAAAAAAAAGTCAAGAATAAATTAAAAAAAATAGAGGAAAAGGAAAGTGAAAAAAGAAAGTATACGTGTGTGTTATGATACGCTAATGGTAATGGCTTTGTGAGCCTCTTCTCTTCTCTCTTTCGATCGCTCGTTGCTTTTCTCTCTTACAATCGCATTTCTCAACAACAATCATCGTTTCCATTTCCACGCTCTAATGGGTATGCTTTTCAATTTCGATCTAATTTCGATTCAATTTCATTCTTTTCTGATTTCTGATTTCTGATTTCTGATCCATTTCATATATACTTTTTTTTTCTTCTAATCACAACGACAATTTTATTGTTTTTGTCAGTTTCCCCCTTTTCTAACTCACATCAAAGTTTCATTCTTTTATGGAAATCGTTTCTGGATATTAATGGAAACTAACAGTTACACTTGCGTGCGTTTTTTGTTTTGTTTTTATGCATTTTTTCTCCAACCGTTGTGTTTATTTATTATTATTGTTGTTTCAGCTTTGATTTTTGGGAATTGATTATGTGAATGTGATTACGATTGATAACTTGATCCATAATTTTGTGTTTTTATATGGATACGTAAATTGATTTATGGATCCAAGGTTAAGGTTTAGGTTGTTAATTATGATGATTTTTGATTGAAGAGGAGTTAATTAAGAGAATGTTAATTAGAAGGTTGGTTAATCTAATTTTTCTATGGTATTGAGATTATCAATTTAGCATCCTCTTTTAGAAGTATTCATCAATGGAGTATGGAATTATTATTTTTCAATAGAGTTGGATGATAATGTAGAGTTTAGATTGTTCCGATCAAGTGTGTTTTTTCACTATTCGTTTGTCATAGCACAGTGCTGCAAATGCAATCACATTACAAGGTTTCTGTTTTGCTTGTGGATCTTAATTATTGCTATGCTTGATATTCGTGCAAGTTTTTTTTTTCTTTTTGTATTTGATTTTCCCCGGACTAACATTGTGAGTTTTTGCTTACTCAGCTACTGATGAGACTTGTTGTTCAACTCAACTAATTGATGGAGATGGCCTATTCAATGCTTCTGGGATTGACAAGTTTATGAAGGAGGTGAAATTGGCGGAATGTGGGCTTTCATATGCTGTAGTTTCTATTATGGGGCCACAGAGTAGTGGTAAATTTTCTTGCATTCATAATTTTATTGTTTTTTCTTTCCTTCGTAAGTATATTGGATTTCATGATTAATTTTAGTCGTCTTTGCCCTTGAGATTTTTTTTGTAATTTGGTTTTTTTTTTCTTGATATGAGGTGATTGTTGTTTCAGATTCATGGAAAGCTAAATTTGTAGTTTATACCTTATAATGTAATTTTTGGTAATAAATTCTATTTGAATTTGACATGGTTTATGAGTTTATTATCTAACTAAAACACTCCTTTATGATGGTTCAGTCTCTTTTAGCCCTTATCTTTACTCTTTTGAGATTTTTATTTATTTATTTGTGTTCAAATTCAATACATTCTTTTGTATTTGCTTTAGTTTATTACTAATGAGATGTGAACTATTTCAAATAGACGGTTTTTTCTATTGTTTAATTTGTTGTTTTCTTTGCACTGGGCAGGCAAGAGCACACTATTGAATAATTTGTTTAACACCAATTTCAGAGAGATGGATGCTTTTAAGGGAAGGTATGATCTTGCTATATCGACATATCACATTAGCTCAACAAACAGGGTGGTAACAGATGTTATGTGCTTGTTTTCAGGTCTCAAACAACCAAAGGAATCTGGATGGCTAGATGTGCTGGCATAGAGCCTTGTACGCTTGTGATGGATTTGGAGGGTACAGATGGAAGAGAACGTGGAGAGGTGTTTTTTCATTTGTTAACCCTTATCTTGAACGCCATGGTTTTGTTCTATCCATTGGCTGACCCCCGCCTAATGGGAAAATATTTTGATTACTATTGATTTACCTTAACTTAGATATAAAAGTGACGACAATTTAATGACTATTGCCGATATCTAATTTACATTTTAAAATCAGTAATGCGTATATGCCATCGTGTCTCTGGTCCATATAGAACATAGAAACATTTATTATAGAAATTTTTGGAGTATCCGATGTCCTATTATTCAAGATTTAATTTATCATGAACATAAGGTACACACCTTCTTCCAGATATGTATAAATAATTCATACAACCCCTCTATTTTGTAAAAGACATTGATGTCCCCAGTTACACTCACACGACCGTCCCTTGTTTTGTTAAAAAGTGGATGGAGTTCGTCATTTGAACAGACCTAAAGGGAGGTGCATGAGTGAAATTTCTTCAATAATTTAGGGCGGCAAGTGTTTGCTCTAAATAAGAAATGGTGTGTTTGTCATTTTAACATACCTCAGAGTAGCTGACTGCAACTCCCCTTTTTAACATCCATTTTCCCTTGCAAAGTAATGTGTTCTTTTAGCTTATTCTTAATGGAATTTGTTAAATGAAAGCTTCACTTTTATCTGTCTCTTAATTTTATGAGGCTGTGAAATGAACAAAGAGTTCCATAATAATTCTAATCCTCTGTTTGCACTATGTGGGTTGGGAATAGTCCATAGCTAGGACTTATTATTATTAAATCATAAGTCTCTGCCACTGACTAAAATTTGAACTAAGGATGGGAAAATGGGCAATTCTTTGGTTGTTTCCTTGTATACTGAAATTTTCTCTCTCTCAGGATGATACTGCATTCGAAAAGCAGAGTGCTCTGTTTGCTCTTGCTGTCTCAGATATAGTGTTAATTAACATGTGAGTTTTCCCCCTCTTATTCATTGAGACATCTTCTGTATCGGCTAATTTCAAAATGTTTGAATTCTATTTAGCGGCATGTACTTCTTGTTTTGATGTTTTTCAAGTTTATTATTCTTTCCACAAATGATTTCCTCTTTCTTCAATGCTTGTAAAGGTGGTGCCATGACATTGGCCGTGAGCAAGCTGCAAATAAGCCTCTCTTGAAAACTGTCTTTCAGGTATCTTTTGTCAGCAGCCTATTGACTGCAAGCGGTTATATTGAATTCAAAACTTGTCATTTATCTGATTGTATGCTTTCAGGTTATGATGAGACTGTTTAGTCCGCGCAAAACAACAATGCTGTTTGTCATACGTGATAAAACAAGGGTATTTAAGCAAAAAGCTTTCATTTTATTTTAAAGTTTTTATTGTGTAATTCTATACAGTTTCATCTGTTGTTGATGAAATTAACCTTTTCCTTTTATAGACACCGCTTGAAAATTTAGAACCTGTTTTGCGAGAAGATATTCAGAAGGTAGTCCAATGCTTTCACCTTTATATGATATTTTTTAAATTATTATTTTTTCTGACCTTTCTTGCTTTATTTTTGTACTCTGCAGATATGGGATTCTGTTCCTAAACCACAGGCCCACATAGAAACCCCACTAAGTGAATTTTTCAACGTACATGCCTTTTTTTCTTTCACATTGCTAATCCTATTGATTTTCTCTTGTGTGTAACAGAACTTCATTGTTAGTTTTAGTTTATATTAACTCTTTGCTTGGCAACAAATGACCAGGTTGAAGTTGTTGCGCTTTCTAGTTATGAAGAAAAGGAAGAGCAATTTAAGGATCAGGTATGAAAGGCACACCAATTTCATTCTGGTTTACTTGCTGATGGTATTCCCTAACCCGATGTTAGGATTTTCGGGTGTATGTATCTCCATATTCTGCATCTTTGTTAGTGTTCCCTTGCAACTTAATATGTATGTATGAGTTAATAGCATATATTTGAGATTGTTATTGAAAACAGATACTTCTGGTTTAATTTTAAAAGATATCCATTACTAGCTAACTTGCATATATTTTTTGTGTTGACATAATTTAAATGCAGGTTGCCCACTTGAGGCAACGCTTTCATCAGTCTATTGCTCCTGGTGGCCTAGCAGGGGACCGACGTGGAGTGGTTCCTGCTTCTGGATTTTCTTTTAGCGCCCAGCAAATATGGAAAGTCATTAAGGAAAACAAAGATCTCGACCTTCCTGCACATAAGGTTAATATACATGCTGCAATGTTGCTGCATTTTCTCTCATGTATGTTTATTTTATTAAGTATTGTAGGGTCAACTTTCTTTTAGGTTATGGTTGCAACTGTACGTTGTGAAGAAATTGCCAATGAGAAATATGCCACTTTTGTTGCAAATGAGGTATGAACATTTATTTTTGTATATTTCTCCGACAATTTGAATTCCTCAGTTACTAATGCTGTGGAAATAACTTGCAATTTTCACTCAGGAATGGTGTCAAATCGAAGAGACTGTGCAATCTAATCCTATTCCTGGATTTGGGAAAAAGATCAACTCACTCCTTCATGCTGGTTTGTCAGAGTGAGTATAGTCCGATTTATGTGACACCTATAATTGTTACTGGCTCAATTCGTTAGTTTCTTGAAAACTGTTGCCTTATAGTTTGCTATCTTGATGTTACATGTTGTTGCATCATGTAAGAATGAGGGCAGATGGTTAATTGAGTTATTGCATTTTCTTTAGGTATGACGCAGAGGCTACTTATTTTGATGAAGGTGTGAGAACTGCAAAACAAAAGCAACTTCAAGACAAATTGTTGCAAGTAATTTTTCTTAGCCCGGCTCTTAGGAATCATGGCCATGAAACCTTTCTTTTTTCATAACATAAATTATTTGATTATTATTTAATCAAAATGACTATTTTATATACTGGATTGTTACTTTGTTTCTCTTTAAAGCTTTTGTAGATTTGTAAAGATGATTTATGTGGTTTATAAGGGTATGTAACACCTTTTCAATTGGCCAGCTCGTCCAACCAGCGTACCAATCTGCACTGGGACACATTAGATCTGGAACTTTGGAACAATTTAAGGATAAACTCGAAAAGGCTTTGAAAGGAGGGGAAAGGTTTTCTGCAGCTGCTAATAGTTGCATTGGGTCTTGTGTGGCTCAATTTGATGAAGCATGTGCAGGTAATGAAAATTTTTTTTATGCTGTTTATTAGTGAAGATAAATTACATTGAAGGTCCTAAACATGCAATGAGATACACTTGAAACGGAAATAAGAGCACATGGATACACAGGAAGCAGATTGTATACAATGATTGATTTGGTGTTGAATGGGATCATATTTACTACATTTTGGTTCATTCTACTGATTTACTGTCTGAAAAGTTAACTTGATAATGTTTGTTGCAAGTATGAATATTGTTATTCAACTGACTAACATGATATACCATCACTGCAGACGTTGTTATTGAAGTAGCGGATTGGGATACATCTAAAGTACGAGAGAAATTGTTGCGTGATATTGATGCACATGTTGCATCTGTGCGTGAAGCTAAGATTTCTGAACTTGTTTCTTCATATGAGGTTTGTATTCAGAATTAATTATTCATGGCTTATGAATCTTTGAGTAACTGTCTTTCATGATTAGTAATGATGCTAGTATTCAAATTGTAAATTGTTAGGATATAGGGACAATAGTATTTGGATTGTAAATTTAGATTCTTAGGATTGATTTTCATACTTCTTTTTATCAAGCCTAGTAAAAATATAAATAAGGGTTTGTAAGTTGAATAACTAACCTCTTGGGAAGTTTTCTAATAGTAATACTGTTGCAGGAAAAACTGAAACTGGCTTTGTCTGGCCCAGTTGAAGCTCTTTTGGATGGAGCTAATAGTGATACTTGGCCATCAGTAAGGAGCCTTCTTAAGCGTGAGATGGCATCAGCAGTTTTAGGGTTCTCTGCTGCGCTTAATGCATTTGATATGGATGAAGAAACAAGACAGAACATGATTTTGAGTTTAGAGAATTTTGCAAAAGGTGTTGTTGAAGGAAAGGCTAAGGAAGAAGCTGGAAGGGTTCTGATCCGTATGAAGGACAGGTACTAAACCTTATGCATCATTGAAGTTGACTTTTTTACCCTTTGAAGTTTACTTTAGTGACACTCACCTTAAATTTGAAAACAGGTTTACAATGTTATTTAGCCATGATTCTGATTCAATGCCTCGTGTTTGGACGGGGAAAGAAGATATTCGAGCTATCACTAAAACTGCTCGCTCTGCTGTATGACATGATTACAAATATTATTTTGCTACCGAATTTGCATTGCAGTTTGTTATCTTTTTAATCAAATTTAACTCTCTGCAGTCCTTGAAGTTACTATCTGTTATGGCTGTACTTCGTTTGGATGATGGTGATAAAGATAATATTGAGAAAACATTAGCAGTTGCATTGCTGGATTCATCAAGCGGTGTTAAAGATAGGAGTATTACAGCGGCTGATCCGCTAGCTACTAGCAGTTGGGAACGGGTGCATTTTTTTGTCTTCGCTATTTGCAGTTGTATTGGATAAAATGAGTGATTGATAAATTGGCATCATATAGTGTTTTGATTGCGGTAGTAGGAATACATCTCAAGAAGTTTTGACATGAGTATATATGTTGGGCCTAAATAATGCTACTGCTACCCCGTTTGGGTTCCTTGAGTGATGTTGGAGAGCATTTTCTATCTTGGGCACTGATCAGTTGTTGTGAACGAATTTTCTATGCAGATTCCACCAGGTAAGACACTGATTACACCTGTCCAGTGCAAATCTTTGTGGAGGCAGTTCAAGATGGAGACAGAGTACAGTGTTTCGCAAGCCATTTCTGCCCAGGTACAGTGTTTCCCATTTTTTAAGAGATTTTGAAAGTTCCTATGGCAGAAAATGGAAAATATGTTGCGACAAAATTAATATAAGTTCAAATCCTATGACATTTTTGTGTGGAAATTGTAAATTTGAAACTTTTAGCTGGAGCCATCTAGACCGGATGTGTTTTCATGCTCTGTTTCCTGTATGTATAAAGTTGTCGGCATGGTCCCAAATGTTTTGCTCTGTAGTATTGTTTCCGTTCCAGGTGGTATCAATACATAATGATATGTCCAAAGCTATTATAGTTAGTTTGATAAACATCATGGATGACCATATGGTCAAGGCATTCATATGTTGTAATCATTGGCAAATACTTTAGTTGTACGATTTCTCTTACTGATGCAATTTTTTTGTTGCATTTTCAGGAGGCCAACAAGCGCAATAACAACTGGCTACCTCCCCCATGGGCAATACTTGCTTTGGTTATTTTGGGATTCAATGAATTTATGACCCTTCTAAAGTGCGTGTCAACTGTACTATAAATTGATGCCTATTTTCTTGCTTTAATTGATTTATATTTTGTTTGTTTTCATTTGCACTTCTGCATCTCTATCTCTCTCTCTCCTCTAGCAGTTGCACAGCATGAAATTAGTAACTTAAAAATAAATATATGATGTATGTGTTGGACATAAAACATATAGGAAAATCTCTTCACGTTTGTCGTATTATTCAATTGATCTAACCCAAGTTTGGCATTCTCTGTGGCAGAAATCCTTTGTATTTGGGTGTCATCTTTGTTCTTTTTCTTCTTTTGAAAGCCCTGTGGGTGCAACTTAACATTGCTGGTGAATTTAGCCACGGAATAGTGAGTATATTTTATTATGATCTTTATAATTTAATCTTCTATCCCAATGTTCACATTTGGTGTGTTTCTCTTGCCTTCTTGAGCTGTGTTTGCAACCTATAGCCAGTTATTGCCTGCTTGATCTTTATAATTGTTTTTTGCTTTCAGCTTCCGGGACTCATTTCCTTGTCGACCAAGTTTGTTCCAACTATCATGAACCTGATGAAAAGACTAGCAGAGGAGGGGAGTGACTCTGCAGCTAATCCTGAGAGAAACACATCACAAAACAACTCCAATGCTGTTCCTGTTTCATCTAGTTCTTCATCCAACATAACCTCATTGGATAACAGAAACAGATATACCAGTTCATCAAAAGATGAGTAAATGAGGACATTCGATCGTCGACTAATAGTGATTTCTTCCACGGTTCTCTGCCGGTTACATGATGTATTTTTGGTTTGATTAATTTTATAAGTATTGAGCTTTCAAGACATTGAGAGGCATTATTTTTTGTGCCAAAGTGCCATATACATGGGGTAGTATTGTCTCCCCTTTGAAATAGGTTTCTTTTACAATTTGGGTGCTTCAATTGCTTATAGAAGTTAGCTTATTTTTATAAATATATGTGCTGGTTTTGCAGTCAATTTTGTGAGTATTTTTTATTTTATTTGTTGAAAATTATTATTTGGACCTGTATTTTTATTTTAGATTTCTGAGATTATACTTGCGCAATATTATTATTATTGCATTTATATATTATGTTTTATTCTATTACTAGTTACTTTTTCAATATTATTTTATATAATTAGGTTTCAAAAATTAAAAACACAATTAGGTATATTTGTCTCATAATTTGTCTTTATCGAATGGGTCCTTTAGATTTAGGGTGTGTTTGGTAATAAGAAAAAAAAGTATAAAGAGAGACATACATGAAAAAGAATGCAAAAAGAGAGAAATATATGAGAAATAGAGTAGATTTAACATTGATTAATAAGAGAAAGAAATGTGTTTAATATTAGAAAAAATTTAAATGTATTTCTACTAAAATCATCTAATTTTATTATTATAGTAATTTAATTTCATAATTAATTTATTATTTTAATTCATAAATTAAATTAATTATTTTTACATAAAAAATTAAATTAATGTTTAATCAATTCTTAAAATATTTTAATTTAATTAAATTAATTTATTATTTAACATTGAATTAACTACATTAGCATAATGTTATATTAAAAAAATAAAATGGCATTGTGTTAATCATTTATTAGCAATGCTATATTTGGAAAAAGGATTCAAAATCACACAACCTTACGCGATCTTTAAAAAGGATTCAAAATCACACAACCTTACGCGATCTTTCATGTTTCTTTCTTTGCTCACGAGAAGAGAAAAGTGTTTTGACGTGGGTTCTAGTTTTTTTAATCTCTCCTTTGCTATTTCTCTGCTCATCAAACTTCCCACTATTTTTTCTCTTATTAACTTCTATTTTCTCTTTTTTTTTCCTTGCCAAACAAATATATCCTAAAGGAATATTTTATTCTATTTTATGAGCGAAAAAAACATATGCCTCTCAAATTTTAAAGATGTATTTACGGATGCACATTGTCTTAAATCAAAATGTTAATTAATTCGAGGATGCATCTGCATAATATTTTAACATATATACCATACATCAACTATGAAAGACATTATACACGTGATCTTACCTGATCAGAAGAGAATCAGTGACTTGCCACGCGTCATCAATCTGAAGGTTGTTCACCGGAAGTAGGGAGGAGGAGGGGGGTGTACCTGCAAGACACTCCGATGCCAAAGTAAGTAATGGATCAGAGGAAAAACAAATACAGAAGAGAGATAGAGAATTGAATACCTGACCCTCTAGTGAAAGAGGGTATTTATAGTGAGACCCCAACGCAGGACCAACAGTCACTTACGTTGTGTTGGATGGCCAGGCCCAACCCAAGTGACTACTAGGGCTTACGTGGCGTAGTGAAGACCAGCACATGGTCTTCGTCCTAGATCAACTGTCCCGTGATCTCTGGAAGGTGGGTTGACCTGCTCTTTCGGAGGTGGGTAGTTGTCTAATGACTTGTCCACGCGCAGGGGGCACGTGGAAAACGTGTGGGAGACGTGTTGTTCTGTCCGACGGGGGAAGGAAGCCTGCCCGGTGTGCCTAGACCCGTGCCCGACACTGGGGATTTGGGCCTTGTTGGGCCTTCCCCAAATGGCATTGGGCTGGGCCTGCCCGACAGATGGGCAGACCTGGACCCAAATAACACGTATATTTGTTTCGAAGATGCATTTCCATTTATTTTACGGAGATACATGTTCGTAACATATTAGAACAATGTATGTTATGTTTTGTTTATGTTTATTCAGATAAAGATTTATAAACGTTATGTACCATGTTATGTGACGAGATTTAAACCATACAATCGATATGCAAAATATGACATATATAAATTCAGATGGTCCAAAACTAACATATAAATAAAGTCGAAATACGTGATAAAGTAGCATGGAGTGAAAATAAAATACAATCAATAATGAATCTAAAGTACAATTATTATATACTATTATGCTACTGTGCATGTCAGACTACATTTCTCTGCCTCCTCTAACTTCTTTGACTCTTTGGGTTCCTCGGCCTTCAATAACCCCCATTCTCCAACGCTGTCTCCGGTACATCAATACCTCTCATGTATCCGTCATGATGACATCTAGGACCTGCCTCACACCAGACCCATCAGAGAAGATATTTCTGTCAATGCTTGTCTGCACAATCTCTATTATGCGACGGCATCTAGGTAATACACCATGAACATGATTTAACAGTGTTTGTTCTTCCTCTAGTATCTCCTGATCAGTTGGTGATCAGTGCATATTTATGCACATTCTCCTACATTTTTACTTAGGCATTTCTTTATGTTATTTTGCTTATTATTATATTTTATCATGTTTTCTTATTTTATTTTATTTTTGATTTAATTTAATTTTCGCAACTATTTTTCAGCTTTAGCAGTCTGCACGGAAACGATCATAACTGGAGTTTCGGGAATCCGATTGAGGCGTTCTAAATATCGCCGGAAAGCTAAGAGAGAGAGCTACAACTTTCGTGTTGGAGTCGAAGTCAGATTCGGAGCTCAAAATTCCAGATTTCCGTTTCAAGTTACAGCATTAGAATTTTATTTTAGTTTTGATGTTTTGGGCCTGGGTTATATTTTTGACCCAGTTGGGTTTTGATCCATTATTTTCCTTTTTAAAGAGAAATCGTGTTACTGTTCACATTACCTACTATTCACGAGAAAAAAACCTTGAAGCTTTTACGAATCCTATGGAGAACTAATCCCTCTGAGTCGGTCTACCGTAATTCAGGTTCCAACACTTGAGATTATTATAGTATTATTACTATTTGTTAATTCCGTTCAATAATTTTATGTTCTTGTATGCTTAATTCGATTGCATGATATTATTGATTTAATTTGGTTGATTGTATGGTCCTAGGCATAGACACGTTTACGTTTGCTTAATTCGTTTGTGTGTCTGAACAATCATGTTTGCTTAATTCATGAAGTTTTATCCCGTTTGCTTAATTCGGACATTAGGATCATAAATCTTACAAACATTTTTGCGCTTGCCATTGAGTTTGCATCCAAATAGGAATGACACCTAAAAGATCAATATTATAATAATCAATGATAGTAGGAACCGAATCGGTAGATTGACTTATTTCATAATCAATTTTCTTCATAACAACTTATTTCGAAAATTACTCTTGTTAATTACTCTTCCCTAATCGAACCAAAAACCCCCTTTTTATTTCATTACTGTAATTGGTTAATCACTACAAGAATCCTTGTGAGAACGATATTCTGAGTCACTGTCGCTGTACTGCATTTTTATAAAATTACTCGTTTTTGATCCGCGAGCGACCGCGGATCAAATTGGCGCCGTTGCCGGGGACTCTTGTCGTTATTAATCAATTATAGAGTCATAGGGTTAGTTAGTATCCTCGAGTCTAGACCTTAGTTTCCTCGTGGTTTCGTCCAATTCGCGTCTTATAGTCCAAATCGTAAAAAAAATCTGTTTTTGGAAAAATTGTGTCCGATCGTAAAACTGTTTTGCCTACGAGAAGCAAAAAAATCGTCCGGTCATTAGTTCCATGTATTCCAAAGGAATACCTGGAATCCACCCTCAGAATCGCCAAAAAATCCTTTTTTCTATTTTTAATGAATTTTTTACTATTTTCATAGAGTCGAAAAAAATCGAAAAAATTCTCATAATTATATTTTTAAGCCATTAGACCAATTCTGGTGTTAGTTAATTTTTCTGGATTTATTTTGATCGATTTGCTTCTTTGTGTTTGTTTTTTTGACTTTTAGGGACATTGTTGGCATTTTGAGTATTGTCCCTGCATTGCTGTGCATTAGTCCTGACAACTAGGTCATCTTGTTCTGATATTGTTGCTTTTGATCCTGAAGTAGAGAGAACTTTGCACACACGACGTAGAGCAGTCCAGGCTACCACTAGTTCACCACACATATCTGAGTCTGAACTTGATATCAATATGGCTGATAATAGAACTCTAAGACAATTAGCTGCACCTGATGTGAATTACAACGGTTTGTGTATTGAATATGCTGCTGATGTTGTTCCTTTTGAGTTAAAATCAGGTTTAATCCATTTGTTGCCCAAGTTTAGTGGTCTTGCAGGTGAAGATCCTCACAAACATCTGAAAGAATTTCAAGTGGTGTGTTCTACGCCATTGAAGCCTGAAGGGATCACTGAAGATCATATCAAACTTCGAGCTTTTCCTTTTTCATTGCAGGGTGCAGCAAAGGATTGGATATATTCCCTCGAGCCAAATTCAATTGCAAACTGGAATGCTCTGAAAAAAGTGTTCCTTGAGAGATACTTTCCCGCATCCAGAGCTGCCTCGATAAGAAAAGAGATTTGTGGTATTAGACAGGGTAATGAGTCACTTGCAGAGTATTGGGAGAGATTCAAGCATTTGGTATCCAGCTGTCCTCAGCACCAGATCACCGAGCAACTTCTCATCCAGTACTTTTATGAAGGTTTGTTACCGATGGATAGGAACATTCTTGATGCTGCTAGCGGTGGAGCACTTGTTGATAAAACTCCAGCCGCTGCCAAGGCCTTAATTGAAAATATGTCACTAAATTCCCAACAGTTTTCAACAAGAAATAATTCTGTCCAAATAAAGGGTGTGAACGAAATTCATGTATCCTCCCATGTTTCTCACTCCGACAAGGCTTTCGAAAATAGAATGAATGAGCTGAAAGATTTAGTGCAGCAGATGATAGTCGTAGGTAAGGCTCAAGCAACCCAACAACTTCAAACACCGCCAAGGTTATGTGGTA